TGTGATGCACATGTGGACCTGTGGCCCTGTGGCCCGGATTGTCGAAGACGTACTGGCAAGAACGGATGCATCCACGCCGCCCTGCTGTGCTACCAGCCATCCAATCTCCCACCCCAGCCTGCTCCTGGCTTTCCTTCCATCTAGCAAGGGTACGGTTTCAACGTGTTGCTGCCTGGTGGTGTACCAAGAGGCAGTCAGCCGTGTTTTCTCTCTTCCTGGCAAACCTCCGTTAGGCTAGCTTGGTAGTGCCGTTAGATGCTGCTCGTTTGCGCTGCAGCCAATGGCGGACCACCCGGACGCCATTGAACGACCTGATGACCACGACGATGAACCCGCTCGTCGTTCGCCAATCGATCTGTCCGCGGCAGTTACCGGACTCGATCTGCTATTCTCCAGCTTAGCGGCAGTAGATAACCATGGAAAGGATCCTGCAGTCGCGCCGACCATCAACATCCCGTTTGAACCAATCGACGAGCCGCTGTGTCCCTCCCCAACTGCGCTCGTGTTGGAGCAAGACAGCTGCAACCCTGCGGTTGAAGAATCTGCGGCGGTACCTGTGGCTAAGAAGTCCGCCAAGTACATGCAGTCAACGATTCCGTGGGGCAAGAAGGGAGGCACCGTTGGAGCAGCACCGGCTTCGCCAGCCGACCAACGGTCGACGCCCGCGACCGCAGGCACGCAGGCGTCGCCCTCAACACCTGGGCCTTCTAAACCTGGGCCTTCCAAACCAGCAGGGCCAGACGCAACTTACGCCGAGGCTCTGTACAAGTACAAGAGCGAGTGGCAAGAACGATTTCCTTGGGTCATACTGCTAAAAAAGGCTGACGGTTTCCCTGCTTTCAGGTGCAGGATCTGTACGGAGCATGCAGGCTACGCTGGACCGTGCGGGAGAGGCGGAAAGGGCGCCACAGACGTTCAGACGCAGGCGTTCAAACGGCATGCGGCAACTACGAAGCACAAGGAGGCGTTGAAACACCAGAAGAAACTACTCGACGAAGCATCCACGCAGCCACGGATCAACAGCGACAATCTCGCTCACGACACAGAGAAGGAGCGTGTCAGCAGGCTCCTCGACTCGCTGCTCTTCGTGACCAAGCAAGATGCACCCATAGAGTTATGGGTGAATCTCGTGCGCTACCTCGCGCGACTGAAGGTGCTTGGGTTCCCCGCTAAGGGCTACGGTACCTATTACACGACGTGAGTTACCGTTTTCTCGGGTTGCAACCGTGTATATGTAGATTAATAACCGGTCTAACATTGTGTTGTTTGACCTGCGCTGCAGATACGGCTTTGGGCAGCTGACTCAGTCGATGGCTACATGGTTAGCTTGCTTGCTAGCAAGATAGGATTTGGTTTGAATTGAAGGCTGTTTGCATGCTTCGTATTGTTTTTAACTTAAAATAAAGATTACTACTGCTATCACCCATTTTCTGTGGGGGACACTGATAGATCAGACTTTTTTACCGTATTAAGTAACACTGAACTTTCAGGCTTTTTTCCAAGACGACCCTGACGATCAGGGTCTAGGGGCAGAGGAACCCTGATACCCTTACGTGCCTCAAAGTGAATCTGAGGCCCTGTCGTAGATTCGATCCTTTATGCTGCCATTTTTGAAACTTCAACTGAAAAGGCATTCCTTTAGGAGTTTTAACATTTCATATAAGATGAAACCAAACCAAATACTGGTAATATTTTGCAAAACAGCTTTGCAACCCTAAGCCGATTTCGTCGCCTCTTTTTTTTTTTTTTTTGTACCAAAAAAGGGTACCGTAACTTGATGATTTACACTGATCAGAACAAGAGGTTTCTAAGAGGACACTAATTTTCGCCTGGGATTTTTTTTTGTACCCTTACAGAAAGGCCAATCCAAGTTAACCTATCCAAATTCTATCCTGATACCTAAACCCTAGAGTGCACTGCACACTAGAATCACTGCCACTTGTGCCTAGACTGACCGTGAGCCTAGTCCTGTGGTGCCGCCAGGAGCAGGCACATTACACGAATAGGATTGTGCCAAGCATCAGAGTGATGACAGCAGTGAGAGCCGTGACTGGTGTAGCAAGCAAACCTGCCATGCGAGGGTGGCAACAAGACAATAAGAATGAGGGCAGAACTAACAACCCGCTCTAGTAAATAAGGGTATAATGAAAAGAGGGAATCAGATTGAAGAGGTGTGGAAATGTGAAGGGGGGATACATGGTGAGGTACCATGAAGATTGCAAAGAGGGGCAACAGAAAGCGGAAGAACGGATGGCACAGCAGTAAGGGGCGCAGAAGTAGAAGGAGCAGGAGAAGAAGGAACAATTTACCTGCAGCCTTGGGTGGGGAAGGAGTAGCGGAAGGAGAAGGAGAAGCGGAAGGAGAAGGAGAAGGAGAAGGAGAAGGAGCAGCAGAAGAAGGAGCAGCAGAAGGAGAAGGAGCAGCAGAAGAAGGAGCAGCAGAAGGAGCAGCAGAAGGAGCAGCAGAAGGAGAAGGAGCAGCAGAAGGAGCAGCAGAAGGAGAAGGAGAGGCAGAAGGAGCACTGCCACTAGCGCCACCATTGCTGGCGAAAGTAACGGTGCCATTAGGGTTGAGCGTGAGCGGTGCGCCGAGATAGATCGATGCACCAGTGGGGCCAACAATGGTGCCATTGCTCCACCCACGCAGTTCCCCTGCAGTGTACGACCCGTCCGCATTGGCAGTCGGCGCAACTGGTTTTCCCGAGGCGCCCACGATCGTGCCGTTCTTCAGGAGGGTCGTCTTTCCCATGCTGAACCCGGCAGTCGGTCCATTCACGACCACGACAATGCCGGGACCAATGAGCGTGCCGTTGGTGTAGGCAGTGTACGCGCCATCAACAGTGACGGATCCGTCGGTGAGGTTTTTGAAGCCTTCGAGAGTCACGCCCGTCGAGTCGACGGCGGAGGTGAATCCTGTCTCACTCCACGTCACCGTGTAATTCTTGCCGAACGTCAGGCTGTTGGTGGTCGAGTTGTAGGAGTAGCTGCTGCTGGGGGCAACAAAACCAACGGAGCCGTCAGGGGTGAGCGCGAGCGGTGCGCCGAGATAGATCGATGCACCAGTGGGGCCAACAATGGTGCCGTTGCTCCACCCTTTCAGGTCCCCTGCAGTGTACGACCCGTCCGCATTAAGAGTCGGCGTAACTTTCTTTCCCGAGGCGTCCACGATCGTGCCGTTCTCCAGGAACCTCGTCTTTCCCATGCTGAATCCCGCAGTGGGCCCACTGGTGACGATTACAATGCCGGGACCGGTGAGCGTGCCGTTGGGGTAGGCGGTGTACACCTTATCAACAGTGACGGATCCGTCAGGGTTGTTGACGAATCTGAGAGGCGCGCCATGGGAGTCGACGGCGGAGGTGATTCCCGCGGGACCCCACGTCACCGAGTATCCATTGCCGAATAGAAGGCTGTTTGTCGCCGGGACGAGAGCGTATTTGTTGCTGGCGGCGGCGGTTGAGGGAGAGGCAGAGTAAGCGGCAGCAGCAGCCGACGAGACGAAGATCATGGCGGAAACCAGCATGGTGAGCGACGGAGGGGTCTGGTGAGCCATGGCTGGAGGGGGGAACACCCGAGGAAGAGTAGACTACTAGAGAGAATAGCTGCACAGGCGCTGGCTGCTCTAAACCGAAGCTGGAAGTGCTCGTAATAATGATCAGTCCCTCCTCTCACGATCCTTTGTACTAAGGAGTGAGTTGGCGCGAGGGACTGATAGGGAGCATAATTATGGGAGGCGCGGAAGAACATGCTAGCAGATGATGGCGCGGCGGGAAGCGCGGGCAGAGAAACTCTATCGTGGGATGCAATAGAGAAATTCTTCATGGCGGAAGAACATGCCAGCAGATGGCGAGGTGGGGCGCGGGCAGATAGACTCTATCGGGATGCAATAAAAATTTCCTCCTGGCTCACTGGACCAATCGATTGCAGCCACGTGCGCCTCGTGGGAGAAGCTCCGTTGTGGCTGTCAGGATATTCTTCCATTCTAAAAGACGGCCACCATTATTCCATTTCACTGACCATTATTGCTGTGCGTGAAGCCGAGGTAAAGAATTGTCAGCTCAGGCCAGGCCAAGGAGGGCTTCTTGCAGTGGTTGGATCGCTTGGATGTTGCGGCTCTTGGGCGTGGCACATGTTGTTTGTTGCGAACATAACCAGTTTGCGAGGCTCGCATGGTGGATTCGTGAAAACGCTGGTTACCTCATCGACTCTGGGTGTGAGCATTTGCAGCCAAAGCTGCAAGAACCAGAGCTGGTAACCACGTTCGCACAATAGCGCTAACTCGGGTTTCGGATCCCCAAACCCAAACGTCCAAGCCTTCAATCGCACAGCCCTGCAAGGCGCCCATTGGTGTTTCCACACGTACCACACCACACCACCCTGGTTGGACTATTGTTCTGGTTCGGGAACAGCGTGGAGCCTGCTGACATCAGCAGGCAGTCAAGTGTCACGTAACAAGCATGTCCGGCTGCTGATATCAGCAAGTTACGGAAACAGAGTTTTACCGCGCGCTGATTGGGTGCGAAGTGACTTTTTCTTTATAGATGAAGTTGGAATGTGTAGGCGAATCCATCCAAATTCGTCAGGGTGAAGGGTTGGGGAACAACTGGCGGAAGGGCGGGAATACCAGTGCGTAAAGGTGAGCCAAATCTCCGTGTTCAAGCGCAGCGCACTAACAAGGTTCTCTAGTAGCCATCACACGCAAAGAAACTACGGGTTTAGGCAAAATCCCCGCAACCCTCCTCATATAATCGCACACTAGGGTTCCATCGGTAGTTTTTGTCATCTACTACCTTAGAGCAATGCCGCCGCCCGCCACTAGTATGCCAGCCCGCAGGCGATGAGCCACATCGTGGCGGCCTCGCCGCGAAATCCGCTGATCGGCCCGCCTCCATCCTCGCAGCATATAATCGCAGCCTCGTCACCCCTTCGTCTCCTCGCCAAAATACCCTCCGCGCCGCGTCGCGTCCTGGCTGTGTCGCCCCCTCGCCGCCACCTCGCCTCAAAATGGCCATGAGTGGGGTACACACGTCACCCATTTCGCCCGCGTCGCACCCCCCACCGCCCACGTCGCACGCTTCATTCCACCCCTGTTTGCGCTCCTCTCTCCCTCCTCTCGTCCTCTCTCCCCTGTGTCGTCCGCTCTCATTCCCTTCCTCCCCGCTTTCATTCCCTTCCTCCCCGTTCTCATCCCTTCCGCCCCGCTCTCATCCCTTCCGCCCCGCTCTCATCCCTTCCGCCCCGCTCTCATCCCTTCCGCCCCGCTCTCATCCCTTCCGCCCCGCTCTCATCCCTTCCGCCCCGCTCTCATCCGTTCCTCCCCGCTTTTATTCCCTTCCTCCCCGCTCCCATCCGTTCTTTTCCTCTCTCATCCCTTCCTTCCCGCGTTTGTTCCCTTCCTCCCCGCTCTCAGCCGTTCTTTTCCACTCTCATCGTTTCCTCCCCGCTCTCATCCGTTCCTTTCCACTCTCATCCCTTCCTCCCCGCTCTCATCCCTTCCTCCCCGCTCTCATCGTTTTGGTACTTTCTTTGCGAGCTCGAGTCTCAAACAGATGTGTCTCAAACGATTGCGACACCTCAATATTGAGTACGTTGGATGGCACCTTGACGCAGATCGCTTGTATGCAAGGAGCTGGTTTTTGAGAATTCTCAAACGCAGATCGCTTGTATGCAATTGGAAATTTTCAGTGACTGGGTTGGGTAGCGTGGATCAACAAAGACGATAACCTCACTGTTTCTGCTCGTTCCCACGCGCAACCCCACCCAGATGCATGTTGTCATTCTCCCAATAAGATGAAATACTTGAGATGACGCCACTATAACCACATTAGCGGACGAGTCCTGCATATCAGCCTTTATTTCTCGCTAAGTTAGTCCATGCATTTAGCACACACATTGCCTACACCAATGCAGAGCTGAAAAAATCAGCTTCAGCTTTCATATGCTTGAATGCATTCACCAGGTGCCAACAGGATCCAGCAGAGCTTTTTGAAACGCTTGTTGGCAGCAGTCCTAGCAGCTCAAAAAAATCCAGAGCCAGGCCGCAGCGCGACCAGTATCTCACCGGACATGCTCCACCATTCGCATTAACGCCCCCTGTGCTGCTGGGGTCGCATCGCAGCGACGTTTGAGTTGTCTCAAAAGTCCACTCGCACCAACGCCCCCTGTGCCGCTTGGGTTGCAGCGACCCCCCCTCCCACACTCACTCCAACCACACATGCACTCCTCGCCCCTGCAGGCAGTGCTGGCAGCGCTGCCACCGCCTTGGCTGCTGGGGAGACCTGCGCCGCCATGGCTGTTCCTCGGCAGACCCACACCGAGGGGAGTGGGGCGACCCACGTGCAGGCGAGGGAGAGAGGGGAGGTGGAGGAGGTGGAGGAGGAGGTGGAGGGAGAGGCGGAGGAGGGGGGTGAGAGGGAGACCTTGACCAACCGGAGGGGTTGAGTGGGGTTGAGTACGATGATGAGGTAGTTGATCTTGGCGAGAGCATTGCTGCGAAGAAGGGGACAGGGGGGGGGGAGGAGTACAGATAGGTCAAGAGGGGTGGACGATCAACGCAGTGGTAAGGGTAGTGTTGCGAAGCCAGGAAGAGGCAGGTAAGAATTAAGAAGATCTTGAACTTGGTAGCTAGCAAGAGAGGACCGAGAGGATTTGTGGGGTGTTGCTGCCACCCATCGGGGGAGATGATGCGAGATAATGGTGGGGTTCATATGAGGGGTTGGCGATGCTGTAGTTGGTGAGTGTGTCGCTTCCAGGGGAATTGGACAGAGACACAGCGACGTGCTAGAGTGGCACAATAGTGCTGGTGCTGTTCACGTGGAGGACACGGGCATGGTGATAACACACTCTCATGTGTACGTAGATGACACATGCACTCACGTGGAGGAGACAGAGACAGTGGCGCCTCCCTTGGCTGCTCCGCCCAGCTGGGCGGCCGCAGTGGGGTAGAGCACCGGCGTGAGCGCCGAGGGGACTGGCGGGGTGCACGGGAGGGCAAAGAGAAGGCGGTTCTGAGGGTCCTCACAAGTGGACACCACCAGTGTGCCTCTTGGCGGGGTGAGGGGTGGCGTGCTGAGGGGTGTCGGGTTAGTGAGCGAGGGGAGAGGGAAAGGCAGGAGGATGGGGAAATGAGAACTTCAACGAGCTCAGCTCAAGCTTCTTCACAGATGCTGCCACGGTGGGGCGGAGCAAGGGAGGACTGCAACGATTGAGTCGAGGTATGCAGGAGTGTTGAGGGGTGCAGAGAGTTGTAGTAGGGTGCAGGACGAAGTGCGGCATGGAAAGACATGATATTCCTTTAGTGCATTGGTTGATTTTCCATCCTTACTTCCCTCCCTACTCGAACCCTCCACACCCTACCTCACACACTCCCTCCACCTCGCCACCGTTTATCACCACTCTCCACCCCTCACCCCACCCCACCCCCACTGTGCTCACCAGCGTAGAACGCCTTGGCTTGAGATAACGCGCCCATGCTGCTGCTCCCAGCGCCCACCACCGCAGCAGAGAAACCAATGCCACTGGTACCGCTCACAGTGATGCCACTTGCAGTGTCTCTACCCGCCGCGTTACCACCAGGAGTGTTACCACCGGCAGTGCTACCACCGGCAGCGCCAGCAGAAGCAGCAGCAAGGAGGGCGGCAAGGGGAGCAGCAGGGAGGGGAGGCGAGGCAGGTGCGCCAGAGCAGTGCCACACGGAAGGCGCGGGCTGTGCGCAGGCGAGGAGGTGAAGGGGGATCGTGATGACGGGCTGCTGCTGTTGCCTCTGATATAAGGCGATTCGTTTGGGTGCGGTGGCTGGCCCGGTAAACACGAGAGTGTAGCGAAGGTTGTATTTTGTAGCACTGGAAAGGGGCGGGAGGGACTGGTGAGGTATCAGAAGAGAGTTTCAAGAAAGCAACTATATTCCAACAAAACTCCTACTGCAGACAGAGTCAAGACAGGTAGTTGACTGCAGAAGTTATGACTGGGAGCAAACGAGCTATTGGAGAGAAGCGTTGCAGAATTGCTGCTTACTTTCTTTGAACGAGCAGGCTGAGAGTGCCGGCCGCCGCTTTGTCTGAAAAGCTCGTCACGAGGCTAACTGCCAAGAGGGGCGGTAATGTTTGAAACCAATGAGCGGCTGAGGATGGGGTGACACACGCGACGGGATGGTGAGGCACATGATGACATGCACGGGCGGGGTATCACGTTCTTGGAAATTTAGACAATAAAAGGGAAGACGAGAGAAATGAGGGAACATTGGGAGATGGAGAGAAAAGGATAAGGAAACGGGTGATGGTTGTTTTTCTCTGTGCAATAAGCTCCCATTTTAGTGTTTTATAGGTTCAAACTTATGTGCTCCCAACGAGTCCTCTGCTCATTCAAAAGTACTACTAGCCATTCGTTTCATCTTCCTCTCGTCATTTCGTTGTCTCCTTCTCTCTTCATTTCGCCCTCTCATCCTTTCTTCTGTCGTCCTCTCTACCTTTTGAGCGGAGTGGCTCTGTCGCATTGAGTCTTCTCACCTTGCTGAGTCTGGGCGTGAGCGTCGGTCGAGAAACCCGCCAGCGTCGCGAAACCTGGTAATTCGAAATGGAGAGAAACACATGTTAGAAGTGAGATTGAAATTATCAAATATATGTAGGGGCAGACGATGGCTCTACGCGGCAGATATTATTCCAAATTTATAGAAACAATACGTGCACTTTCTATTTGGTGCACAGACAAACGTGCAGCTCTCAAAACGTTGTGATAGTCTCCCCCTTCCCCACACATTATACGTACAGAAGAGAGCGGTAAACGATGGGCAGAACGAGTTCTGAAATCGTCGTCTTGCTTTGATCAGCAGCTCCGTTTGCGCCCCCATCATACTAATAACTACACGGTGATATTCTGCCCGCAAAAGATGGCGACGGAACGCAGCCGCGAGAACCAGAGATCGAAATGGCCTCGCGCATCAACCGAGGTTATTATCTTCTTTTAGAACGGGTCACTACCATTGTTGAAAGCGCGAAATAGTGCTGTCAGTTGATGGGAGCGACTGTCCGCCGACACCACTGTCGACAAGATTTTCGGATTGAACTACGTACCTCGGCTGTTCGGCTCGAGGCTAAGCAAAAAGAACTCGACACGTCTGCAGTTTCTGTTGGAATTCTTTTGAAATAGGCGCTGATAGATTTTGCAAAGAGCAGCCGCAGAATTCAGCATAAAATAGGTTGTCAACAGAGGGGAGAGAGTATGTTGTGCTTCAGCGCATCTTGCGTTGTGATTCAGGCTGGGGAGGTTGATTTTCTGCCACAATTATTGGCCCCATTCTTTTGCCTTTAAATGTGCGGTGCGGCTATATCCAGCGGACATGCATTCTTGTTGAGTTTATGCAAACTGCATACAGGCCGTCGATGCTTTGAGGAGCTGCGCGCGAGGTGCGGGTAGCAGCAAGAGAAATCGAACAATTATCGTGGGAGCTGGCACTGCAGCCTTCGTTATGCCACATGACTGTGCCCTGCTACAAGTACGTTATGCAGCATGAGTAATTTTAGTTTCGGTAATATAAACCCATACCTTGTTTACACTTGAACAATGTACAACCATAAATGTTCAAATTTCTCCAGTCACAGTTCGTCTTTGAAAGAGACCCTCACTCTAAGCACACCTGCTAGCTTCTTATCGTTCACATTCAACACCCCTCCAGCCGAAACACCCTTTTTCTCTCCGCCCTCCTCCCCATTCACACAGCCCACTCCATCCATGAGCTCTTTCAGTGGCTTGGAAAGATTCGGCCGAGTTGCCTCTTCGAGCACCGCAGGGGCACGGAGGTAGAGGTTGGATCCATAGAAAGAGACGGACGGTGCTTGCAAGCGGGCGGCAAAACGAGAGTCGGCCAATAGTTGGACGATAAACTGCATGGAGGATACAATGAGCAGTGGGCAAGAAAGGAAAGTAATACACATGCCCTAGTTGCTGGGGATGGCAGCACCTGTTGCAGAAAACAAAAGCTGCCGCAAAGTGTTAGTGAAATGTGGATTTTGTACCGTGCTAGCAACCCAGATAACTACTTGCTGCAGAGTGCCATCAGCCGTGCCAGCACATGCCATGCACACATCACACATACCTGCTGCAGAGTGGCTGTGGAAGGCACGGTCACAGGCACGCCAGCACTGCACACGAGGCACTCCGGGTCCCTCTCATATGCCACAGTGTGTGAGTAGACGCCCTGCGTGCCCACATACCTGAGGGGCGCACAAGTGTGGGGATTGGAACAAGTACGTGGGAGATTCAAGAGTGCATTATTTGATTAAGGGGCGCCAGCGCTGCACATGAGACACTCGGGGTCCCTCTCATTAGTGACAGTGTGTGAGTAGACGCCCTGCGTGCCCACGTACCTGTGGGGTGGGGCCCACACATGTAGGGATTCGGATAAGGACAGGGGAGATTCAAGAGTGCTCTATCTTATAAAGGAAGCACGTGGAGTATTTTCCTACAGCACCTTGTTGTTCAGACATAGAAGCACGTTTAATTTACAACACCAGGTAACTCATGCATAGAAGCACACTCACTTACATCACACACTCATAGATGCATACAAACACATCCTTTCTCAACACACATTCATGCGTATAAGCACATTCACTTACATCACGTAGTTGTTCATCCCTGCGGAGCACATTGTAGCGATCTTGAGAGTCTCCAGCGCGCACACTGCTGATATGATGGCATTGGTTGATGCTATAGCGGGGATAATGTTCTTCACCACTCCCTGTATCGAATGCACCGCGATGGTGTGGCACAAGAGAGGGGTAATGGCATGGCATTCATTAGATGTTGGTGCTATAGCGGGGATAATGTTCTTCACCACTCTCTGCATTGCATGCAAGGTCATGGTGGTGCGGCAGCAAAGGGAGGTAATTGCAGGGAAATGGGGTGTGTGACGATGGGAGGGGAGACGATGGGAGGGGATGACAAGAAGTGGAAGAAACAGCTCCGGGTGGGCGTGGAGGGGGGTGGCAATGGCGACACTGCAGGTTCAGGAAGAGAAGTCAATGGCGCGGAGAGGTGAGGTACAGAGCACAGAGGAGAGGCGGATGGCAGTAGATGTGCATGTGCATGGTGCATGGTGCATGGTGCATGGTGCATGTGCATGGTGCATGGTGCATGGTGCATGGTGCATGGTGCATGGTGCATGGTGCATGTGCATGGTGCATGGTGCATGGTGCATGTGCATGGTGCATGGTGCATGGTGCATGGCATGGCACACACCTGCGTGAGGGAGAGAGTGACGCCTGTGATGCTGTGCTGCTGGGCGCGAATGAGAGCCTGCCGCGGAACAGAGAGGAGGTGGGCCGTGCGGCCGGAGGGGAACGAAGGGAAGAAGGGGAGGGGAAGCAGGAAAGGGGAAGCAGGGGAGGGGAAGCAGGGGAGGGGAAGCAGGGGAGGGGAAGCAGGGGAGGGGAAGCAGGGGAGGGGAAGCAGGGGAGGGGAAGCAGGGGAGGGGAAGCAGGGGAGGGGAAGCAGGGGAGGGGAAGCAGGGGAGGGGAAGCAGGGGAGGGGAAGCAGGGGAGGGGAAGCAGGGGAGGGGAAGCAGGGGAGGGGAAGCAGGGGAGGGAAGCAGGGAGGGAAGCAGGGGAGGGGAAGCAGGGGAGGGGAAGCAGGGGAGGGGAAGCAGGGGAGGGGAAGCAGGACAAGGGAAGCAGGGGAGGGGAAGCAGGGGAGGGGAAGCAGGGGAGGGGAAGCAGGGGAGGGGAAGCAGGGGAGGGGAAGCAGGGGAGGGGAAGCAGGGGAGGGGAAGCAGGGGAGGGGAAGCAGGGGAGGGGAAGCAGGGGAGGGGAAGTAGGGGAGGGGAAGCAGGGGAGGGGAAGCAGGGGAGGGGAAGCAGGGGAGGGGAAGCAGGGGAGGGGAAGCAGGGGAGGGGAAGCAGGGGAGGGGAAGCAGGGGAGGGGAAGCAGGGGAGGGGAAGCAGGGGAGGGGAAGCAGGGGAGGGAAGCAGGGGAGGGGAAGCAGGGGAGGGGAAGCAGGGGAGGGGAAGCAGGGGAGGGGAAGCAGGGGAGGGGAAGCAGGGGAGGGGAAGCAGGGGAGGGGAAGCAGGGGAGGGGAAGCAGGGGAGGGGAAGCAGGGGAAGGAGGGAGCGGAGATTGACAAGAGAGAAGCATCAATAAACATGATAGCAGCATGAGAGGGACACGAATGAAGTACAGGTGGCCTTTGGAAACAGAAAGATGCGGTAAAACAGAAAGATGTGGTAAAACAGAAAGATGTGCTCAAACATAGCAGAGTAAGAAGGGGTCGCACAGCAAGCAGCACCTTCTGGTAGATCCAATCTATGTGCCAAGGTTGTCGTTAGGAACAGGTGACTGCGGAAAGAGGAAAAGCCTTGGTGGAACATAGCAGAGTAAAAGAGGGTGATAGAGAAAGCAGTACCTTGTGGTAGATCCACTGTATGTGCTCCAAGTTGTCCGCATCAAAGGACTCTCCTGGCCGCTCCTGGTGGTGATGCAGAGATGAGGAGAGGAGGAGAGGCGAGGCGGGGCAGGAAAAGTAGAGTGAGGTGGTGAATGGAGTAGGGACCGGGAAAAGAAACGAGAAACAGAAAGGGAAACAGACAGAGAAAACGAGAATAAAACAAGCAATCAAAACAAAGTGAGGAGTGTTAAGAGGGGGGAGCAAGTGAGGGAGGGTGAAAGACGGTGCAGAGCGCCAGGCGGAAGTTAATCTCACAATTTCACACGCACAGGCAAAAGCTGATCCGGGGAGAAGAAAAACGAATCCTTCTCCTTTCCCACACCCGTCCGCCTTCCTCCCGGCTGTATGCGGATCTCACCTCCCGACACAGAAGGAGGTGTGCGCATCAATGTCATGTGTGGGCCAGGCAGCCCCACTCCGCCCCATTTGCTAATCCAATGCACCCCATGCCCTCCTCAGACCCCACCCCTCCATCCGCGAAACCACTTCGCCCTCCTTCCCGCCCCTCCTCCCACTGAACACTCTCGTCTCACCTCGCCCCACTGAGTGAGATGAGCGTATTCAATGCAGTGAGCAGGCGACCCAGCCCCCCTCTGTTCCATCCGCTAACCCCCCTCCCACCACACCCAACTGAACATGCATCTCAACTCACCTCGCCCCACTGGATGAGGTGCGCGTCTCACCTCGCCCCACTGGATGAGGCGCGCGTATTCAATGCAGTGTGCGGGCGAGCGGGGAGTCTCAGCGAGCGTGCAGAGGGGGAACTTGGTCTGGGGGGGGAAGAGCCACAGCGTGCAGTGGAAGCACGGCGTCACCCCCGGGATGATCACCCTCGCGTGCCCCTTAAAGCCCTCCGTGCCGCCGTCCACCATGGGGCGGATTGATGACAGATCTAGCTCCCCTTCAGGCGAGTACTCTGGTGGTGAGGGTGGGGATGGGGAGTGGAAGGGGGAGGAGGCATCAGGTACGGAAAAAAAGAGTGCCCTCGCATGCCCCTTGGATAGACTCTGGTGGGCAGAGCGGGAACTTGGTCGGGGGGGGGGGGGGGGTGGAAGTGCGCGAGCGTGCAGAGGGGGAACTTGGTCTGGGGGGGGAAGAGCCAGAGAGTGCAGTGGAAGCACGGCGTCACCCCCGGGATGATCACCCTCGCATGCCCCTTAAAGCCCTCCGTGCCCCCGTCCATCATGGGGCGGATGGAGGTTAAGTCCAGCTCGCCTTCAGGAGAGTACACTGGTGGTGAGGGAGGAGACGAGGAGAGGAGTGAAGGGATGGAGACGAGGAGAGGAGTGGAGGAGGAGGGGGGCACACTGGGTGGGAAGAATGATCACTCTGGCATGCCCCTTGAAGGGCACACTGGGTGGGAAGAATGATCACTCTGGCATGCCCCTTGAAGGCCTCCATTCCGCCGTCCACCATGGGGCGGATAGAGGTTGCGCCCAGCTCGCCCCCACAAGCATGTCATTTCTCGGATTGCTTGCTCACTGACTTTTGAGTCGACTCAAAGTCAACAAAGCCCCCACAAGCATGTTATTCCTCGGATTGCTTGCTCACTGAGCAAGCGAGCTCAAACAAAGCTGGGGCGCACCTAGGAAGCCGCACACGAGGCTGTTGATGTAGGAGCGCGCCTCCAGCGAGTCGAGCCCCAACACGATGATGTTGAACTCGCTGAAGAAGGAGGCGGGCTTGTCCTCGATGCGACAGAAGTGGGGGGTCACCTGGTGGGGGGGTGGTGGTGTGGTGGGGCGGTGCGGCACGGGGTGGGATGCGGAAGAGAGGGAGGGGGTGCTTGCTGAAAAAGGAGGCGGGATTGGCCTCTAGAGACAGGAGTCGGGTGTCACGTGGTGGGGGTGGGGCGGGGTGCTGGGAGAGGGCGAGCGGTGATTCAGAAAGTGGCAACGGGTTGGGTGGGGGTTATGACAGGAAACAGCGAGAGGTGGGGTTTGATAGAGAGTGGGGGAATACAGCACAAAGCACAACAGGTGCAGACGTGGCAAGTCCTTTCCCCCCCTCACCTGCACCCCGCCCACTCCCCTTCCCCCTCTCACCTTCACCCCGCCCACGCGGCTCATGACTCGCTCTGCTGCCACCACGGCCTTGGGCTTGCCCACGTCAGCCGGGCTGCACGGAGGGGCATGGAGCAGCACGCAGGGGTTGCATGCAGGGGAGAGGGGAGAGGGGAGGGAAAGACTAGTTGATTGTCACTCGCTTGGCTGCCACCACGGCCTTGGGCTTGCCCACGTCTGCCGGGCTGCACGGAGGGGCATGGAGCAGCACGCAGGGGTTGCATGCAGGGGAGAGGGGAGAGGGGAGGGAAAGACTAGTTGATTGTCACTCGCTTGGCTGCCACCACGGCCTTGGGCTTGCCCACGTCTGCCGGGCTGCACGCAGGCGAGAGGGGGTTGCATGCAGGGATGGGAAAAGGCATGCGTGGGTAGGAGGGCCACGAGGGAAGGACCAGGGGAGTCAGGAGGTAAAGCGAGAGAAGAGTTGTTGATTCTCACTCGCTCACGGCTGCGTGGCTCTGCCATGCCACCACGGCCTTGGGCTTGCACACATCTGCCGGGCTGCACGGAGGGGCATGGGGCAGCACGGGGGGAAAATGGGGCCATGGGCGACGGGGTAAGGGGAGTGGGGGAGAGCAGGAAGGTCATGGCCCGTGCACTGTTCATACACAGCAGCGGCACTGTTCATACACTGCAGCAGCACTGTTCATACACTGCAGCAGCACTGTTCATACACTGCAGCAGCACTGTTCATACACCGCAGCAGCACTGCTTATGCATTGTAATGTAACTAACTGGAAGAGGACCTGGCGTCCATGTGTCAATCACGCCCATCACGCCCATCATGCCCATCACGTTGATGCTCCCAAACCCCGACAGAAGTAAATGCTTCAAGGCTAGTAATACACTCTAGCGGCACCGTTGACACGCGTTAGCGCCACTGTTCATACACTGCAGCAGCACTGTTTGTGCACTGTAACGTACCGAAAAAGAAATTGGCAGTTCAGGTTGGAGACGTCGATGGTATCCATGTCAATCACGTCTGTGCTGCCAAACCCATCAAGGCCAAGCACAGTACATACACTGTGGTACCACCGAATCTCACCGAAACAAGAACTGTCTGTTGAGATTCGAAACATCAATCGTGTCCATGTCAATCACGTCGATGCTGCCAAACCCCGACAGCACCAGGTCCTTGAGCAGCTCGCAGCCCAGCCCGCCTGCCCCCACCACCAGCACGCGGCAGTCGTCCTTGAGAAAGTCGCGGATCTGGTTGGTGTGGAGAACAGAGTGGGGCAAGGGGGAGTTGGGGAAAGGGTAGAGGAGGGGAATACATCCCACCAGGCCCTTTAGCCGCTCACACCCCAACCCGCCCGCCCCCACCACCAGCACGCGGCAGTCCTCCTTTAGGAACTCGCGAATCTGGTCGATGAGGGTAGGGGGAGGGTGAGGAGGGGTGGAAAAGGGTGTAAAGGGGTGGAGAGGAGAAGGAGGTAAATCAAAGCACCAGGTCCTTTGGCAGCTCGCAGCCCAGCCCGCCTGCCCCCACCACCAGCACGCAGCAGTCGTTCTTGAGAAAGTCGCGGATCTGGTTGGCATGGGGCAGGGGGAGAGTTCGGAAGGGGTGGAAAGGAGTGGAAAGGAGAAGGGGGTAAATCACAGCAGGTGTTTGAGCAGCTCGCAGCCCAGCCCGCCTGCCCCCACCACCAGCAAGCGGCAGTCCTCCTTTAGAAAGTCGCGGATCTGGTTGGCGGGGCACGGGGCAGGGCCGGGTGGGAACGGGGGGGAAAGGAGGAGGGGATACATCACAGCAGGTCCTTGAGCAGCTCGCAGCCCACTCCCACCACCAGCACCCGGCAGTCTGTCTTAAAAAAACTGGCGAATCTGGTTGATGAGGTGAGGCAGGTGGGCGGGTGGGGAAGGGGTGGAAAGGAGAAGGAGGTACATCCCACCAGGTATTTGAGCAGCGAGCAGCCCAGCCCGCCCGGGCCCACCAGCAGCACGCGGCAGTCTGACTTGAGGAACTCGCGAATCTGGTAGGTGTGGATAGGGGAGAGAGTGGGGCAGGTGGGAGAGGCGAGTGGGGACGAGGGAAGACTGAGGAAGGGGAGAGAATGGAGAAGGAGTGGCAAGGAGAAGGGGATATATCCCAGGAAGAAGAGTGGGAAGAAGGGGCGAGTGGGAAAGGAGGAGAGTAGGGAAGGGGGGAGAGTGGGGAAGGGGGAGAGTGGGGAAGGGGGAGAGTGGGGAAGGGGGAGAGTGGGGAAGGGGGAGAGTGGGGAAGGGGGAGAGTGGGGAAGGGGGAGAGTGGGGAAGGGGGAGAGTGGGGAAGGGGGAGAGTGGGGAAGGGGAAGAGTGGGGAAGTGGGAGAGTGGGGAAGGGGGAGAGTGGGGAAGGGGGAGAGTGGGGAAGGGGGAGAGTGGGGACGGGGGTAGAGTAGGGAAGGGGGGAGAGTGCGGCAAGAAGGAGAGTGGTGAAAAGGAGAGAACGGGGAAGAGGGGAAAGAGGAACGAACGAAACGCTCAAGGTGTCTCGACCGCGCGCAGGCCAGAAGCATGCTCCCACGGTGGTACCGTATTAGGTTTCACTTGCCAGCCCACGGCAGTCTCACTTGAGACAGCCGTGAATGTGGCTGGTCGGTGTGGGCCGGGAGGAGGAATGGGTGGGTGGCGGGAGCAAGGGGCAGCGGAAAAGGGTGGGGAAGGAGAGGGAGGCACATGACAGCAGGGCCTAGCGAGCCGCCTGCTCACCTGCTCCATGCGAGCACCATGCGTTCCAACGCGCCTGCTCCCACCACGCACGGCATGGCCTCATGATGCCCCACGCACGGCATACCTCCGGCGAGGGTTCGAATCCAGGCCCGACGAGCATCCCTGGTCGCAGCAACAGACGGTCCAGATCTCGCCACTGCCCCTCCAGCTCCATCGCTGCGCCCTCCGCTGCCATCGCAGCCGTTCGTCGCGACACCGATCAACGCGCCGCGGGCACCTAAAGCGGCGCGTATGCTCCCCGGGAACTGCTGTGCTGCGCCGCGCGTCGTGGTGCCGTCGATCAACGCGACTGACCCCGATCGACGGCTCTACTGCACCAGGGCGAGCGAGCGAGTGTGGCTTCGAGGGTCGCTGAGTGCTCCGCGCGTCGCGTCGCCGATCGGCGCGAATAGCGAAACGTACGTAAACAAAAGACGTTTCAGAAAGCGAGAAGGTTGCCGAGGCTGGGAGTGACGTAACACGGAATGAGGGAGAGGAAGGTCAAACTCAAAAATTTTAAAGCGGTAATGCTGGGTGGCATGGCTAAACACGGAAATTTCAATGGGTTGGGTGTGCAATGCTTTTGTGTGATGATAGGAAATGCCCACTGTTTCCATATACCAGGGTGTAGTGCGTTTCAGCAAAAAAACAACACATACGGTACTGGGATATTTCTTCAAATTTTCCTACCTAGCAACAAGATTTTACATATCAGGTGGGTGTATATCCTGCCGTGAAGTGGCTAAGCACCTGAAGCATCAACAATCAGTGCATTCACTTGTGTAATGGCCGGTCCGTTGTACGTGGCACGTGCCCTGCTGCTCCTTGGGTGTCGACAACATATGTTGTCAGCAACCCCTTCATACTGATGTGGCACCGGTACCGGTATGTGCCTGCCATGAATATCAGAAAGGGTTTGCCAATGGCTCAACCATTAGGTGCATGCCGAAACTCGCCCGCAGAGTGACAGCGCTTATGGGGGAGTGCTTGTAGGCGGGGGAGAGGCGCCATGAGAACTGCCTGAGGATGTGCGCCAGCACCACCTTTGCTTCTGTGAGGGCGAAGTTGTTCCCGATGCAGATGCGCGGGCCCGAACCAAAGGGTAGGAACGCCTGAGGGTGAGAACAGGCTTCATCTGTCCCTTCTGGAATGCGTGGGGTTTGAGGAGGGTATGAGGCACGATGGGCAAAAGTGGAACGTGATATACCGGTAATGAATACAACCACAAAGAATTGACGTTCTGTGGAAGAGGAATGTTAGGGGAAAGAACAGGGAAGGGGAAACAAGAGGAGAAAAACGGCACAGGCACGCAGACAAGAATCGTGAAGAGAGCAGTGGGGAGACACAGAAGCGGCAACAAGACCAATGGAACGAGGAACATGAGGCACGACAACAAAGGAGACTGACTGGCGAAGCGGTCGGGGTTTAAGTGGAGGGCATGCGGGCCCCAGAAGCGATTGTAAGACGGCAAAGGAGGAGAATATGAAGGCAAAGAATTGGGCAAAGATGAGGGAAAAGAAGTGGACTGACTGGCGAAGCGGTCGGGGTTGAAGCGGAGGGCTTGAGGGCCCCAGAAGCGCGGGTCATAGTGCAGCAGGGCGACTGGTATCAGCACGTTCACACCCCGCGGCACGTCATACGGCCCCAGCCTGCACGCCTGGGGGAGGGGGGGAAGGAGGTGAGGGGGGGGGTGTTGGGCGGGGTTGCGGTGAGAAGGAAGGAGTGAGCATTCCAGGGCACTGATGTCCCTGCGGGTCATAGTGCAGTAGAGCGACTGGTATGACCCGCAGTATCAGCACGTCAGCACGTCAGCACGTCAGCACCTGGGTGGAGAAAAACGCGTTCGACGTTTTAAACGCTTGCGTTCAAACGCAGCGTTTTAAACGCAGAACGCATTTCCAGGATTAAAAAAAACGCAAAAAAAACGCAAGCCCGGGCAGGGTAAAAAAAAGGTACGGGCAGGCAAAAAAACCTCTCATGGTGCAAGGGAAGGGGGGGAAGAAGCACATAGCATAGATTTGAGGAGATTTTTTCCGACACAAAAAATTTCCCCCCCAACATTAGGTTCCCATAGTCACGATTAGTTAGTCACTCTAGTCTAGCAATAAGCAAACTAGAGCAAGCTACCACGGTCCACGCCATCTCCTCTAATCTTCGTCCTCCCCGCCCTCCTCCTCCTCGCCCTCCTCCTCCTCGCCTCCTTAACCATTGTGGTGGCTGGCCACAATGGTTGGAGTTTGTAGATGGTGTGCGGTGCAAAGCGTTTGGGTTCAATTTTGAACCCAAACTTGGGAATTTTGGTGTGGGGTGGATTTAGTGGGGTCGATTTGGGTTGGAAGGGGTTCTTTTTTTACGAAATTGACATTCGCGCTAAAATCGCGTATGTCAATTTCGTAAGCTGGAAAAAAAAAAAATCGGGCTGCCCGATTTTTTTTTTCCCATGCATTCTGCGTTTTCTGGTGCGTTCTGCGTTTTGCGTTCGAACGCAAGCGTTCGAACGCAGAACGCAAAACGCATTTTGCGTTTTTCTCCACTCAGGTCAGCACCGCGGAAGGTCGTATGGACACGCCAGGGGGGAGGAGACGGTGAGGAGGAGAGAGCGAGCAGGAGAGAGCGCGGAGGAGGGTGAGAGGGGAAGAGAGTGAGGAGGAGAGGCAGCATGTGTGAGTGGGTGGACGATGAGGCTGAGAGCTTCAGAATAAGCCCCCCTCCAACCAGCTCAACCCCCCTGCCACTAAAACCCCAGTACCAATCGGAATTCTCTGCCCCTCTCTAGGCTCTACCTGCTGGCACATGCACCCGATCTCTACCTTTGAGTCGACTCCGAAGCCACCTTCAACTGAACCCGCTGCCCCATCTGTAACTTCACCTCCCATGTGTACCTGCTGGCATGTGCGGCCCAGGAAGGGGACGGGGGGAAACATGCGCAGGCTCTCCTGCAGCACCATGCCCATGCCCCTCAGCGAAGCCACCACCTCCCAAGTCACCTGCTCCCCTCCGCCTCTCTCGTCTTCCTCTCGCTCTCCTCCCTCCTGTCCTCCCCCCACGCCCTCCCCTCCAGACCCCCCTTGGCTTCTCTCTTGATGTTTTCTTCTATCTCCCTCTGAACCTGCCTCGTCTGCTGCTCCTGCTGCTGTGCTGGCTGTGGGGACTGCTGACGTGCCCTTTTCCCCCTGCTGAGTCAGCGCCTGCTTGAGCTCTGCTCTCAGCCGCTCCTGCCAGTCGGGATGCTTCGCCAGAAGATAGAACGTCCACGTCAGCAGGTGCGCCGTGGTGCTGTGGCCTGTCGTTAGGGGGCGGCGACAGAAGGAAGATGGGAATTGGTGGAATGGGAAGGGGAGGTAACACGATGCACAGAAGGGAGGCAACGCAGAGAAGATGGCGGATAACACGAGCGCCGTAGGAGGGGAGGGGGGAGGTGAGGCATTCTTTGCTTCGGGCCTGTCATCTGCTGTCTGCGTTTTACGCCGACTTGACAGTGTGTTTCAACTCCACCGAAAGCACCAAGAAAGAACGAGCATACCAGCGAGGAGGAATGTGATGCATTCGACCATGAGCTGCTGATCCGTCATCATCTGCTCCTGATGACTTTCGGTCGACTTAAAAAACAGTTTGAGTCGACACTAAAGGAGCATACCAGCGAGGAGGAACGTGATGCATTCGTCCATGAGCTGCTCGTCCGTCATCTGCTCGTTGCCTGCCTCGTCATGTGCTGCCAGCATGAGCGCCAACAGGTCCCGTGCACCCCGCCCTGCTGCCCCCCCCTGCTGCTGCCCATGTGCCTCCTCGCCATGCACTGCTGCTGCTGCTGCTGCTGTTGCTGCTGTCCCCCTTTGCTGCTGTCCATGTGCTTCCTCCTCCGCATGCACTGCTGCTGCTGCCCGTCTCTTGCCAATGAGGTGCAGGGTCAGGTTGCGAATGCTCCTTTCTGCTGCCCAGAGGGCAAAGTTTTCGGGAATCGGCAAGATGCTGCGATGGGGGGAGAGCAAGAGTGCGGAAAGGGAACCAGGCAGTATATTTATCCTCCCATGTCAACGATACATGCAGGAATACGAGTGGGGATGGAATCAGTGCCTAGGACTTTCCCAGTGTACATAGACCCAGGCTCGGCCTTTCCCAGTGTACATAGACCCAGGCTCGGACTTTCCCAGTGTACATAGACCCAGGCTCGGCCGCTCGGTCGGTACAGAAAGGAATCCACTCTTTCCAAATGTTTTTTCGAAGAAAGGCAATGCACGACAGACACACACGGCGAGGCAGATAATGAAGAAAGAGTCCTTCTTTCCTGCCTCCTTTGGTACTTGGAGGGCCCTCAGGACCCTCTTTGTTATGAATGATGGAGAACAATGGATGAGACAGTCTCACACACAATGCACGCATGGTGGAGGCGCAATGGAGGCACGGTGGGTGCATGCACGGTGGGTGCATGCACGGTGGGTGGAGGCACAGTAGGCAAGGTGGAGGCACGGTGGAGTTACGGTGGAGGCACGGTTGAGGCATGGTGGAGGCACGGTGGAGTTACGGTGGAGGCACGGAGGAGGCACGGTGGAGGCACAGTGGAGGCACGGTGGAGGAACAGTGGAGGCACGGTGGAGGAACAGCGGGCAGCAGCAATGTTACTCATAGAAGGGCACGAGGGAGCGCCAGGAAGTGACCCTCTTCGAATCCAGCTCTGCCAGCCTTGACAACGCCTTGTACACCTGCACTGGGTCCGGTGCCCCTACCCCCCCCGCTGCTGCTGTTGCTGGTAGTAATTGTGCTGCTGCCGCTGCGGCCGTATCTGCCTTCACTGCCATGGTTCCACCCTCCTTCCCTAGCCCCTTTTCCTCCCCTTCCCCCCCTTCCTTCCGTCTCCTCTCCTCATCGCCCCCCTCGTGCGTGACAGCGGAGCCAAAGGCAGCGAGGCCAATGACATCCAGAGCCACGAGAGACATGCTCTCCTGTACGTCCACCTCCATGCACGCACGCCCTAAACGCTCGTTATATGCACGCTCGATATAAGCACCCTCCTGCGCTCCCTCCCCACCCCCTTCCTTGGCACACTCGGTTGATGACATGCCCTGGCCTGTTGGTTGGCTCTGCTGCTGCAGCTGATGCCACCACGAGTTTGCCAAAGAGTGACCCTGGCCATCCATGATTCTCACCATCTCCTGCATGGGTCAACGCAGGTCAATGCAGGTCAATGAAGGTCACCACAGGTCAGCGTTTGGCAATATAGGTCAACGCAGGAATGCAGGTCAACATGGGTCATTAGCCCAGATGAGCCAGCAAGCATCAGCACCGGAAAACGTAAATCCGAAAGAGCAGGCCTACAACTCAACACGTCAGCACGAGATGAGGTGATCAACTCGCCCTGATGGCGGCGGGGCGGAATGCGGGGTTGATGATGCGGCGCTGCCGCGCCCACAGAGACCCCTCTGAGAGCGGCAGCCCGTTGCCCAGCAGCCTCAGTATCTTGCGCGCACTCTCTGTCTTGGTGACCCGCCCGCTGCTTGATACGAGAAGCTGGCAGGGATGACACAAGTGGATGGAGGAAGACAGAGAGGACAGGTGAGCGCTGTAAGGAGGGCCTGTCAGGTGAGCGCTGTAAGGAGGGCCTGTCAGGTGAGCGCTGTAAGGAGGGCCTGTCAGGTGAGCGCTGTAAGGAGGGCCTGTCAGGTGAGCGCTGTAAGGAGGGCCTGTCAGGTGAGCGCTGTAAGGAGGGCCTGTCAGGTGAGCGCTGTAAGGAGGGCCTGTCAGGGAGTGGGGAGATGAAGGGACGGGATGGATGAGGAGAAGTGACGCGGGGAGGGGAAAACAGGGAGGGAAAAGGGAAGGTGAGAAGAGAGGGGATGAGAGTGGTGGACCCAGAAGCACTGTGTCTTGATTGTGTTCTGCATGCATCTCATGCAATCACATCTCATGCAATCACATCTCATGCAATCACATGACATGCAATCACATCACATCACATCGCATCGCATCACGTCAGGCAAATCACATCATATCGAATCACAGCATCGCCACATGACTGTACCTGCCTCACTAGTGCAGGATCCGTTACAACCAGCTGCACCGTGGTCCCTACAGTGAACCCGAACACGTCCCCATACTGCTCGCGCCACTGGTGCAGCCGCGGAAGCAACACAGCCGGGCCGTGGGTGGAGGGGGGAGAGTCGGAGGAGGGGGACGCGGAGGAGGGGGAGGCGGAGGCGGAGGAGGAGGCGGGAGAGGGGGTTTGGTTGGGGGACAGTGGGGCAGAGAGAGGGGTGCGACGGTAGAGGTCGAGCGCTTGACCAATGAGAGGCCTGGAGTGCATGGGAGGACGGGATCGCAGGAAGGCAGGATGTGAGGAGGGATATGGGGGGTGTGAGGGTCTTAAGTTGTCCCAAGAATGGAGGGGTGGGGGAGTTCTGAGTCGCCTCAGAAGCGGGGAATGGGGATTCGGTGAGGGGAAAAAGAGAAGGGCGGTTCGAGATTAAGGTAAGGGAGGAGAGACGCGAATGTTTCTGCATTTGTTCAGGGGCTTCAATAACGAGAATAAGTGTGCCTCGAGCAGCAGAAACTAACGACAAAGTATTTTGGAGGAAATTTCTACGACGATGCAGCGAAATGGCTCGAATAAGCCTTAGATGTACGCGGCTTGAGCAGAACGAACGGAATGTATTCGTTCTTGAAACGGCAAGTATGAAAATGCTTTTACCGAACCGGCGGAAGAAAAGGGCCTTACTTAGAGGCGGTAACGGAATCCCTTACTTGAACGGCAGGAAGGGAATGCCTTGCTTCTTGCACCGTCGCACTATGCGGTACGGCACATACACAAGGCGATACGCGAGGAACAACGTTCCGGCTGCTATTCCAGCCCATGGAACGAAGGCTAACCACCAGGGAACTTGGTGCTGCCACGTGGCACCATCGTGCCACGCTACTGTGCTAGACTCAGACAGTATGGTCATGTGGAACAGCAGGAATTTCTGAAAACAGGTCACGATAGAGAGCAATGGAGGGAAGGAGGGAAGTAATGCTGAAATCCACTCGAACGGCCAGCACTCGAAATTCTGAGCGATGGAGTCGAATTCCTTTCAACACCGACATTTTCCCAAACCAGCATCCCAGCCAAGGTCCGGAATCTGGCACGGCCAAATATTCGAGTACAGCTTCGGGGTGCTGTGTTGTAGGTCTCCGAACCAGGTTTGGTTCGAGTCACGCTGATTTTGATTTTCGGGATTTGTGTTGGATTTGTGTTGGATTTTGCGTTTCCAAACTGTAACGACGAGATTTGGGTTCGCGAAATGTGGCGAACTGAGAGCCTGCCTGTGCAGAACTATCGAGGGGACGGGTGGAGTTGCGATGCGTGGAAGGCGAAACCCTAAAATCGGCTAACCAACAACGATCATGAAAGAGCGCATTCGACACACTCGCACTACTAAATGGGGAACTTTGAACTCGTTCCCACATTCGGATTAGTGTAATCCGGGGCCTTGGTAAGGGTGCGAGGGGGAATTCGGTGACTGTGGCCTCGACGAAAGCGTGCGACTTCGCTGCTCACAAGGCCCCCGTCGGCGCCTTGGTTTGTTACAGCTTGCTACTTAGCGAAATATGTAACAGAAAGGCGTGCGACGTCGCTGCTCACAAGGGCGCCGTAGGCGACTCGTGAGAGGGTTGCGGCGTTATATTATGAGCAGCGCTCTCGCCGCGCCCGCGTTCTCTCGCCGCGCCTCCCATAGCTCTGCGCTGCACCTGCAGCAAAGTTAGCTCGTCACGATCGCACTCTTGCTATAGATCACTCGCACTACCACCACTCCTCTCCCCTCAAACATGTTGTCACTCGCGCCCTCTGCAGCTCGGCTGGGCCCGATTTCTCACACTCAGCTTTCTCACACTCAGCTTTCTCACACTCAGCTTTCTCACACTCGGCTTTCTCACACACGGTTCTCGGCTTTCTCACACTCAGCTTTCTCACACTCAGCTTTCTCACACTCAGCTTTCTCACACTCAGCTTTCTCACACTCGGCTTGCTCACACTCGGCTTGCTCACACTCGGCTTGCCCGTTTTCTCACACTCGGCTTGCCCGCTTTCTCACACTCGGCTTGCCCGCTTTCTCACACTCGGCTTGCCCGCTTTCTCACACTCGGCGGCCCGCCGAAGTCCGTTCGGGCCCGTCGCTCCCTACCCTCTCTTGTCTTTTCTTTTCTTCTCTTCTCTTCCTGATCGTTCTCTTCTTGATCGTTCTCTTCCGTCCCATCCCTTCGCATCCTATCCTTTGAATTCCGTTTCATTACTTTTCCCCCTTTCTACTGCCCCTCGCTTCCCATATTCCCTTCCCTTTCCAACAGTTTCATTCCGCTACTATCCTTTTCCTCCTCTTCCCTTCCCTCCAATCCATTCCCGTCCCTCCTTTTCCATGCCCTCCCCCTCCTTTCCCTCCACAACAATCTACCCCCCTTGCTTGCCTTCAATCTTCCCCCCCTTGCCCTCAGTTCCCCCCCTCCTTGCCCTCAGTTTCCCCAACCCCCCTCCTGGCCCTCAGTTTCTCCCCTCCGCCTTGCCCTCATTCCCCCACCCCCCTTGCCCTCCCCCTCCTTGCCCTCAGGTTCCCCCTCCTTGCCCTCAGTTCCCCCCCCCCACCCTCCTTTCCCTCAGTTTCCCTCCCCCACCCCTTGCCCTCAGTTTCCCCTCTCCTTGCCCTCAGTTTCTCCCCTGCGTGCCCTCAGTTTCCCCCCTCGACCTCGTTCCACTACTGTTTTCCAGTGCGTCCGCCATGCTTCCCATCATGTTCCACCCATTCGAACCCTTTCTTTCCACCCCTGCTTGGGCTTGTTCCGTCCTGCTCGCCCTCGTTCCTCCCACCCCCGTTCCGACTGTTTTCCCACCCTTTCCCTCGTCCTCGTTCCCTTAAATCTCTCACCCTTTGTGAAGGATAGGGAAGGGAAGATTCTCCTTCCCCCCTCTTGCTTACCCCTCCTTTCCCCCTTGTTCCCTTTCTCTCTCACCCCTTATGAAGGGTAGGGGTTTACAGACTGTAACCTGCCCCCCTTGCTTGCCTACTTTCACTCTGTCTGTTCACCTCTCCATAGCAAGGCAATCCGAACAGCACAACTGGAAGGACATCCCTCTTCTTGAGTGCTGCTCTTGGCAACATGTTGGAAGGAACCAAGGACCGGTCGTTTTTTATTAAAGTTGTGTGTGCTGGTGCCCACACCCCAGTGTACCTACCGTGTCAATCCATCCACCAGCATTTTAGACTGGGTAATTATTTGAAGTGTTGTTCAGTACTGTATTCTCCCGGACATAACACCCGGGGGTATTATGATAACCACAGGGAAAAAGGGGGGGGGGGGGGGGGGGGGGGGGGGGGGGGGGTCCTCTCAACAGAAAATCCTATATAATACCCGGGTGGTTACATATGGCATATTTTAATGTAAGAGTATTTTTAATTAGGCAATTTGGGTGTTTCAATGGTCGTTTTAGCATCACAGTTTTGAGGCGAGAGTATGAGTTCCGGCGAGAAGGTGGGTTTCACCTCTCGGGCCACTTGCAGCGGAAGATTCGCCAGCGTGGCGACAGCGAGATTGTGGGAGGGGGGAAATGTCCGCTTGCAGCGAAAGATTTGCCAGCGTGGTGACAGCGAGATTGTGGGAGTGGGGAAATGTTGGCAGATTCTAAGTGAAAGTATACGCAAAACTTCATCTAGGAAGCATCCTCGCGATATTCTCCCGTAAAGAATCTGACTCGATAACAGCTATTATATGAATCTGTAAGAATAGAGGGGTGTTATAGAAAATCACCCAAAAAGGGGGGGGTATAGTACAAACGAGGTCGGCTACAGCACCCCCCCGCACAAGCTACCCGGGGGTGTGTCAGAATCCCAACCACTAGACCATTGGGATAAAAGAGCTAGTAAAATAGCGGGTTGGTGCGCCCCTAACCCCCCAGGACAATGAGCCTGTTACCCTTCCCTAGGATCAATCGAGAATCATCAGTGGACCTCTGACACCCCCCCGCACTGGGATGCCCGAAGTGCACACGCTGGGATTCTGAATACCGTATCACCCCGGATAAAAGCGCAGGTGCGCTTATAATACAACAATGTTTTTTAGGGGGGTGCGCTTCTAATTGAGTCATTTTTATAAGCGCATGCGCTTATATAATGGCATATACAAATTTATTATTCAAAGACACCAAATTGCATACCGGTATTTCACTCTTGCCATTTCAACCGAGTCGAAACATTTCGCGTCACAAAACAGAATCGCGTGCAAACGATTCCCTTCCAGCACACAGGGGCCAAGAAGCGACACTTTGCAGTCATGCCAGCACATCGTGGCTGGACGCGCAGCTAGTCAGGTCTTCGAGAGTCAGGCAACGCGAAAATGAGATTGTACTCGCTTCACAAATGAAGTTCGCTACCGTTTTGAACAAGAATTTAATTTTAAAATTGTACATGCGCTTATAATAAGTTAAGTTTTTTAAGGGGGTGCGCTTATAATTGAGGATCGGCCATAAGCGCATTGCTCCAGATAGAAGCGCATGCGCTTATCATAGGCCTGCGCTTTTATCCGGGGTGATATGGTACATGTCAGAATCCCAACCACTAGACCATTGGGATAAAATGGCTTGTAAAGTAGAGGGTCAGTGCGCCCATAACCCCCCAGGACAATTAGCCTGTAACCCTTCCATAGGATCAATCGGGGATCATCAGTGGACAGGGTGTACTATTACGGGGGGGTGTTTTGTCCGGGAGAATACGGTACTTACGGTACAATCCAACGTTGATGATATTATGACAAAGCAGCAGCACAACACTCATTGTTAACCATCCTCATCAGATTGTTGTGTTATGTACAGGATCAATCGCCTCATTGGCTAACTACCCTTCCCGTTCTTCCCTCGTACATTTCTACTGAACCTCGAAACCCTCAGTGCACTATTCCCCTCTTTCTCAACGTAACCCACTTGCTCCTTCCACATCCACCCCGTCTGCCCTGCCTTCATCTCGTGCTGCCTCATCCGCTGCATCCCCCTTGACTACCTCAGCCTTGCTACCCTCTCGTTCCCTCCTCCGTTGCACCCGCTCAAATCCGTCCTCCCACTGCTCCACCAGCCGCTCTTGCTCCTCCTCCTGAGGTGCCATGCCAAAGGGGTCAGGAAGGGGAGGTGTAAAAATAAATATATTTTTTGTTTTCTCTTCTGCACCATTTGCACTCTTCAGCTGTCCTGTAATGCACCAAACAACCAACCTCAAACCCCTTCCGATCATGCCATGCTAGGCCCATCCATTCACATACTTCGCAAGAGTGTCAGAAGACTTGCACTATGAGATCCCCGATTGATCCTTGGGGAGGTTACAGGCCTGTTAGCCTGGGGGGTTATGGGCGCACAGACCCGCTACTGAAACAAGCCCTTTCATCCCAGTGGACTAGTGGCTGAGATTATGACAAAGAGTCCAGGTGACAAACGTCTCCCTGGTCTCGCACTCTCTTGCTCCACGCATCTCCGGGTTTGATTTCCTTCTTTGCAACCTTTGATCCACCCACATTGCTGGTTTTCGTTCTGCAGGCAGCAATGAAGTAGTGGATGGAGAAAATATTGGGAAAGAAAAACAAGGCCAAGGATCACGAGCAAAACACAAGAGTAGTGGGGACCACTGAGGAGAGGAAAATGTTTTGAGAGACGAAAGGCGGTAGAGCGGGCGGAGCTAGCGGGGGTGGTGGAGGTGGCGGTGGAGGCGGCGGAGGGAGTGGGGGTGGCGGTGGGAGTGGTGGCGGGGGTGGAGGTGTCGGTGGCGGTAGTGGAGGCGGAGGCGGCGGAGGCGGTAGCGGTGGGAGCGGAGGCGGCAGTGGTGGCGGAGGTGGAGGAGGCTGTCGTGGAGGAGGTGGAGCTGGTCGGGGTGGCGCTTCGCACCACAGCGGCTCCGGTGGTGGTCAGCGCCAGCAGCAGCAGCGTTCTCGGGAC